TGACTTACAGGGGTTTTGATTTTAAATTACTCAACAGCGGGATGTATACAACAACGGGTTTAGATAGCTTATTTTCCTCCATTCATGTTTTTCCTTTTCCTTTACATTGTTACTGAACAGTAAAATTTCTAATCTTTTTTTTTTTGTAGAACTATGACATACTTGATCTGAATGGGAACAGTATGGAAGTTCGATATAGACTAGAAAACCAGGCGCGGCTTTGCCGCGCCCTTCCTAGATTGAGCCTGTATAATTAACACTTTAACAGAGCTATCAATGTATTACAATATATACCTATAAGAATTCATGCACGAAAGTTTGAACTACAAATGTTGTATGGCTACTATTTGAGTCCATCTCAATTTATTTTACATAATTACGTGTGAATGTTATAGGTAAATATAAAGCTTTGGGTAGTTCTGCTTTGAATGTCTGAGTGGCTACAATATGTTTTTCAGTACAAATTTGGTCGTAACGATTAAGTGATTAGGCTATTAAAACAATATAAAGCTGTTAATGTTAGCACCCTCATAAACCAGAGCTTCAACATCAGCTTCAAACGATTAGAGGTTCACCTGCTCCCAACAATTACGGGTCCACCTGTTTCACCATGGTCACCCTCCACATGAACAATAGAAGTATTTTAGATTAAGTTGTAAGGGACTCTTTGATGCAAAATATTCCTATGTAATGCTAAAAGATCTGAATCAAGGATCACTACTAGTCTAAAAATGAAGCAAAGAATTCAATATTGGCTACTTTTTCAGGTCTATATTTTTTTCGTTGTTTGGTGCACTTCCGATGAATATATTTATCTAATGATTTGGTAGTTCTTGTTAATAAATACCAGTTCGATTCGATTCAACAGCTATGTAACCTGAATAGAAAGCAAAATTGTATGGCAATTTCAGAGGAAATGGTAGATAAATGCTGCTTGTGTGGTATAGAAGTTAGCAATGGTATCAACCCACCTCCTTTTCCTTTATCCACTTTTCATTCTGGTCCTCGCTATATATTTAGTTTTGTTCGGGACTAAATTTAGATGCTCTAGCCAAGTAATTTAAGAATAGAGAGGAGGCAGATGATTTGCAACTATTGGTAGTGATTTTCAGCGCTCAAATTAGATGATCTAGCCAAGTGAATTAAGAACAAAGGGGATCTAGATGATTTAAAACAACTGGAATCTGGTTTATTTACAAACCCAAGTAAATAGATCAAGAGTAGGAGTTGAATGAGGATTGTTTACCTTGTGGTTCCTGCACTCTTGTCTCACCCACGGGAGCCTTTGAAACCAGCAATCGGGCTTAAGGACGGTGGCCGATGATAATGCCGTTGTCAACTCGATTGCAGCAAAACTGGTGTTGGATTATGGGTGTCGGTCAATGATGATGGCCTCAGGATTAGGATTCTAATCTCGCCTTGCACTTGTTGTTCTATCTTACAAAATACATGTAAAATTCTGCAAGTGCAATAAAGAAACGGAGAGGCCGAGAGGGTCATGGAATTAAAATTAGGAGGGAGCACTCTGCAATGACCATCTACTGTAGAACTTGATATCACACAGAAGCATGTTTATAGTACAGAATTTAGGATTTTAAAACAATGCAGTTGAAACAATTAAGAGCCAAGACTATACTTGAGGTGTGGAGCTAGCGGCAGCTCAGCATATACAGTAAAGAAAAGTAACTTGAAAGCAACATGTATTTTGATATTATAATATAAGATTAATGTGATTAATGCATTGGACAGCCTGAGAATTGAATCAGAAGCAGCCGCACAATTCATGTGAAAAAATACACTTTTTAGTGAATAACACATTGATGTTGATGAAATTTACAAACTGAGATATACAAAGTATCATGGAATTAACTACAAATCTTATCGATGAGCTCCTTCTCTGTGTATGATTGGCCTAAAAATTTATCATTCACTCCAGCATTTTGATTTTGCCCTTCTTAAATCCATATCATGTAAATTAAACAAAAACGTAATCAAGGAAGTTTATTGTTATATACATGTTGGAATTGAAGTAATAGAAGTGTTTGAGCTGGCAACTCTGATGCATTTCTTTGCTTCGGTTGTTTGCGTACCTGTGTCATAGAGATGCCTATAGGTGTTGTTCAGAGGGATTGTCGTAGTCCGCCACCAGCTGGGGAAGGTCTCATGGTCGAACAAGACGCAGTTGGCGTCACTGCTCTCCTCGTCCTCGTTGTTGTCCATATCTATCAGGTGAAGGACCACAGGTGTGCCTGCCTGCGACATGGTGCGATAGCAGCGTGGCCAATCCTGCAAACGAAGCCCGCGAAGCCCCGTGACGTCGCACCATGGAATTTCATCAAGCAGGCAGTGTGCACGACAGTGGCTGGCACTGGCACCATCCCCAGCCATCTGCGAACTGCCGTAGATAGGCGTGGCGCAAAGCCAACCACGTCCGTGCGCCAACGCAGGCTTGCTACACGACATGACCCACGGCAGTCGGGCTACGGTGGCGGCAGCCACGCACAGAAGCGCGCTATGAAGTCGGATGCGTGCCGCCTCCTAGCGCATCGCGTGTGTTTCCTCGGCCTGCATCCCGCGGCTAGGCAAAAGGCGCTGGGGCAGACAAGAAGGGTGCGTCCTTGCTGATGCAGCGGCGTGGAAGGTAGAGCACACGGTGGGCGGAGCGGCGGGCGAGGTCGCCGTGTCTTGCGCCGCCCTTCCACCGGCGCCGCTGCCCCACGCCGGAACCAGTGCTCGTGACCTGCCTCACCTCACGCCCAACTCGATTCGCCCGCGCCAAGTGCGGCCGGCATTGCCCGCTTCGCGCCGTGCCTGGGGAGGAGAAGGGAAGAGGTGCGGGGGACGGTGGAGCAGCCGGGAGGAGGGAGACGCGGCGCGGAGGTGACGAGTCGGTTCGCGAGCATTCCTGACCTTCCGGGTTCATGCCTTAATGGATGGGAGACCCGCTACGAGCCCGATCGAACGGTCCACATTGTATCTTCGCCAGATCCTACGGTTGTGGGCTAACGGGCGACGTGGCTTAATCGGGTGCCCGAGCTTGAACCCTGGATTCGAAAGGTAAAGATGACGAGGAACTGTTCTAAATTACCGCCTCTGGTGTTTCAACAATACCACTTTGCGCTATGAATTTGGAGATGGTAATAGGCGGTGTTGTACGCTTCCTGATTCTGGGCATTTCCTTATTAATCTCCATTATCATGCAAAATGGATTATGTGCTGTCATTGATGAAGCATCTGGTTATCTTGATGGTTACATAACTAGAAGAAGTACTGGAAGAACCATCAAAGATCTTCGCATCCGTGAGAGCTCAGAAACAGATACAGAACCACAGTATATTGAGCATTCAAAAAAACTTCCTTGGGATGGTGGATACAATGATGAGGCTGCCTATACAAGATGTGGAGATCGATCTTTGGTTAACTCTTTTCTCATTCTCTATGCTCACGTTGAAGAACAAGTGCCCAGACCCTCAACTTTTCAAGTGATTTGTGCTGGTGAAACCTTCATTTTACATCTTGCAGAAGCTGGAAGGTCTGATAGTCTCTTCATTGGAAACATCTTCAAAAACTTTAGGGCAGCAATTATGGTGGGAAAAGAGCCAATTGGTAATGCAAGAATGTGGAAAAGCTCATGTACAACTATTTATAGATCAGCAGCGATAAAAAGATACAGAATTTAGTAGCAAAACTAAAGATAAGAAACAAACATATGCAAGAGAAGGGATGGCTACTAATAGTGATGTAGCGGAGACAAAGATTGCTCTAGAGGATATCCGGCTTATGCACAGATCGACCTAACCATAAGCGTGTGTATTTTTACCTTAAGGATATGCACATGCATTTGTCCAAAGAAGGACCCGTGGATCCAATATGGGCGGAAAATGAGCTAAAAAATAGCCATAAAATGGATTTGGATGATTCAAGTTGGGGATTTCTCACGGAACACTTCCCTCCATTTCCTACTACTAAGGATGCTAGGTAAATGACATCTTAAGCAGGCAGGATATGAAGATGGTGCTGCAAGTGTGGTTGGTGCTGGCATCTTGACAATTACTGTGGCCTTCTGTGAATTTATCTCTTCTTGTGCTTTCCATTTATCATTTATCAAGGTGTTTTTTGTTGCGAACTGAAAAAGCCCTTGGTATTTTTGTCACTTTTGTAGTCCTATGTAACTCGTGGAAAGAAGAAATCTGATTTGTTTTGAGAGTAGTCGATGGCTGGGATAAAAACAGCTATGGTGGACTGCTACTGCTGTGCTGAAGGGCTGGGGTCTGCTGTGCTCCATGAGAATTTAGAGGTGTACAAGTGTTTGGTGGAGAAGCTGGAGGAGCTCTCAAGATCGGAGCAGATGTGGGCTGGTTGTGTTGGAGCTGTGGCTCCCTGTTTCTTTTGTGTACTGATGAGGTCCAAACCTTCTTTCTTTTTTTGGGATGTCTACTGAGTTACAAATCTGTGGTAGCTTAATACCGTTGTGGTCTAGACGTCTGGTAGTAGTCGTATGTCATACTCTACTTATGCTGTAGACGCTGGAACAATTTGGTCCCGATTAATACACTGCACTATGCATGATCTTCTAAGCCTGTGTTTGCACGTCTAGCATGTCATTCGACTGTTGTCTCCCAGTTCAGCAGATAATGATCTGCTTGAACCTTGCTGCTGCAAGTGACCTATGGCAAAGAGGAATGCCAGAAAAAGAACCAAACGCTTTGTTCAACACAGGACTCAGCACCAAGCGCAGTGCTCCATCAAATTTGGGTCCAATCTAGACGGTGAAGACAAATAGCATCATCAAAGCCAAGACTTCACAAGAATCGCCACATCAACACATCAAGGCTAGCAACATATCTTAAATATCTGAGAATAACTCTGAACATAATGCAGACTTTACAAGAATCACCACATCAACAGATCAAGACTAGCAACATATCTCAAATATTAAGGTATGAGAGAGCGTGCGTTGAACATAGCACACTGAACCACACTGCTAAAGAAGCCATACATCAAACTTTCAGCAACCCACTACTGGAAGTTGTCCCCTTGTTTTTACACCTCTTCTTCCAAGCGTCGTATCTTGATGGTCCGCGTCCCAGGTTCTTTGGAGCAAAGAACACCCTCACATAAAATGGAACTGAGTCATCATCAGCATAACTTAAAGCTCCAACAACTCCATCCTGAAAGGTCCACTCCAAATGTGGATTTTCCCATTCCAAGCGAATACTCAGTTTTTCTTCTACCGTCACTGCAACCACATGCGTAAAGAGCTTGCCCTGAAAACATTTCCCCTCGAAAAGCAAAATCTCCTTATCAAAACAACTGCTGGAAGCAACGAATTTCACGTGCTGAGGACTGTCAACACCTGTGAACACCTCTATAACTGCCTCAACACTCTCTGAAAGGAACATAAAGTCCATATCCAAGATTGCATCTTCACTGTGAATCCGCCCCGTGCGCATCTTATTGAAACTGGAGCGCAAGCAAATCTCAACATACTCAGAAAGTAACCGTTCATCGGTTGATCCCTCCTCTTCCTTTTTCACCCAAAGATCAACTTCCAACACTGCACGATCTAGTACATAGATTCCTCGGCAAGGGCTACAAAGAGGCAAGTCTTCAGATTCCTGCAATTTAACAATTTGTTAGAAATCAAAGGGCTGAACATGTACTCAAATAGAAATGTGTAACAACAGAATAAACACAACAGGATGTGAATGCTTGTATAAATGAATTATTGACAGATACTCTATCAGCAAGACAACCAGCTTTGCACATTTTTTCTTCTTGGTCTAATGACATAGATTTTTAGTGGATTTTGTAGCATGTTAGGGTGTTAAGAATCAACAGCAAAAAATGTGGCATGCTCTCTTCATTGCAAAATGTACTACAAATGGTAGTTAAGATCCAATGATTGCTTTGTCAACTAGTATATGAACTGAGCAGCAAACAAATTAATCTGAAACGTTATAGATGAATGAAACGTACAAAGTTCGTGAACTAATGCATCTAACCATAAATAGCTCCTGATATTAAAAAAACTAATTGGCATGTATCTCATGCTTCTTATAATCATGTTCAGCAAATTTAGAGAATACCTAGTTGAGTGCCACATACTTTGTTTCCTTATCAAGGTGTCTAGACTCTAGACCATATCTAGAACCCCAACTTAGGCAAAGTTGATAAAAAAATATGTGGGGAGGTGTGGCAAGGCACAACATCAAGTGAACCAAATGGCACCCTGGAAGAGTCGAAGCTTTTATAATCTGAGAATATGGCAACGAACCATACCCTAACTTTGTTACAAGTAACCTTACGCAAGTTTTTGTGCCAACAAAATTTGGAGGGTGTTTGGCTCACACCTTAACTTAGAAATGGCAACGTTTCTTAGGCACATGTTTGGTTCACTCCAATAACTAGGCTTGTTACACTTTGTTGGCACCATAAACCACATGTTATACACTCTGTTTTCTTGCCTAACTTTATATAGCTGTGGCTTCAGGTTTATTAAGTTAGGCTCTTAAGACATGATCCAAACTCTGCTGCATGCCTAACTTGAAGTAAAGCAAGGTAAGGGTTTTGAAAAAAAAAACATCCCCCAAGGTTAAAAAAACGAGAAACAAACTGTACCTGATAGATCATGACAGGATTGTCTCTCGGAACGGTTAAAGACATAGTTCCTCAACGGCTCCAAGTCATCACGCACGGCGAATGTTCCGTAAATACTAATGGGATAGGATTTAGATTTATAGCTTGACAGCCTCAGAGAGAAGATCTGCATCATCTGCTGTGGTTCACGAAATCCAAGGATTGATTTAGCTGCAAACAGGGAGAAGAAACATTCAAATTGCTAAACATACACAGATAATAACACTGCAGGTTACTGGATCCTGTATAGACTATAGTAGAAACCAATTGGCACTTACTCTGGGAGGTATCAGTGGTCATGTATTCACGGTGATAGCAGAATCCCCTCGTGATGCAAGAATATGTTGTCACAGGGAGAACTCTCAAAGGCCCTGGAGCAACAGGAGTATTCTCATCTCTCTCATTGCACGAGTCCGAGAACTGCTCCCACAGATGGGCCATTCTATTCATCGAGTTCAGACGTATCTCCTCTTGTCTCAATGTGAAGCTTTGCCATGAAGAATTCAACATGTAGCAATGCCGATTAACCTTACCAGATAATCCTACTCAGCATATCACTAGTGTGTGTATATATATATAACACTACCCTATAGCTGGCTACAAAAATAACTTATTTTGTAGCCACTTTGAGTTACGATAATTATTATGTTAATTTACGAGATTATAGTAACTCCATACTAAGTGGTTTACTGTAATGTTATGGTAAATATCTCCATGTGTTATAGTAACCCAACTATCGTAATTATGTATTGGCATTATCGTAAATTAGTATATAAAATTATCGTAAATGGAGGTGGCTACATAATAACTTATTTTGTAGCTGGCTACTAAATATACTCTCCCTATGTGGCTACAAAATAAGTTATAAAATAATGTCAATAAGTTATTCTGTAGCCACCTTCATTTACGATAATTTTATATACTAATTTACGATAATGTCAATACATATTTACGATAGTTAGGTTACTATAACACATGGAGATATTTATCATAACGTTATAGTAAACCACTTAGTAAGGAGTTACTATAATCTCGTAAATTAACATAGTAATTATCGTAATTCAAAGCGACTACAGGATAAGTTATTTTGTAGCCAGCTACAGCTCTATATATATATATATATATATATATATATATATATATATATATATATATATATATATATATATATATATATATATTGATATATTGGATTATATATTGAATTATATATATATATATAATCCAATATATAATCAATATACAATCCAATATATATATATATATATATATATATATATATATATATATATATATATATATTGGATTGTATAAAGCTACATTGCTTGGAGTTGGGCCCCGATTTCGTGTCGGATACGGATTTTAAAGTTGCAGGAATTTGGATTTTAGAGCTACTGTAGCACGTTCGTTTTTATTTGGCAAATAGTGTTCAAATATGGATTAATTAGGCTTAAAACGTTTGTCTCGTAATTTTCCACCAAACTGTGCAATTAGTTTATCTTTTTGTCTACATTTAATGCTCCATGCCACAAACATTCAATGTGACAGGTACTGTAGCAACTTTTTGAAAGTTAGAGTGGAACTAAACACGCTGTGATTTTTTAGCGAAGTTGGGGGCCAACTCCAAGCAATGTATAGCGAAGGCCCCACTCTTGGCCGGCGGGGCACACACGGTGGTCGGAAGGACCACCGATCTCGGCGAGGTCGGAGAGGAGCAACGGGGATGGCGGCACCGCAGTGGGCTACGGCAATGGGGAGCGGCGCGCGCGGCGGGTGCGGGAACGGGGAGCAGCGCGCGCGGCGACGACGGCTTGTCGAGGTGGGCGGCGGGAAGTCAGTGTGGGCCCCCTCCACCACCACTGTCGTCCCCATCTCCCCTTCACCCACTGCGGCGCTCGAGCCCCCTCCGGTGGCGGGCCCCTCTGGTTGCGGAGCCCCCTCCATCTTCCCAGCACCAGTTGCGGCGCGAGTCCCCCTTTGGTGGTGGCCATCTCTGGCGACGGAACCCCTCTGGTTGCGGAGCCCCTCCGGTGGCGGCGCCCCCTCCATCTTCCTTACACCAGATGCGGAGCTCGGGCTTGTCCGGTGTCGCGCCGGGCTGATTGGCTGACGGACGTAGCCCGATTTGGTGAGCAAACCCTCAATCTCATCTCTGTTTACTCCTGTCCTCCTAGCTCACCCTCGTATCTTATTTCCAGTACGATCTGTTGCTTGTCTTCGTAGTTTTCGATCTGTTGATTTTGGCATCTACTAAATATTGATTGGATGGTTGAAGTAATATTTGACACCCTTGTACAGCAGCAGCATGCTCAAGATTGATTAGTTGGTTGTTCCACTAATTTCTTCCTGTATTCTATGTTTCCTGCAAGGGCACGCAATTAGCTAGTAATTACTAGGATACTACAATATGGCCGCGTTCGCGTGCCCTTAAACCCGGCTTGTCCGCTTCTTTTTTCATCTGGAACAGTGTTTTCCTCTCATAGATTCCTACAGAATTCCTCCAAACCATCCAAATTCCTCCAGAACCATACCATCCGAACGGGGCCATAATATGCTAGGTGTTACAACTCTTTCCACGAACAAGAATTTTAATTAGTCTGATGCTGTCATTTTTAGTTGCATTTTACTACACATTAAGCTATGCTGCCATTTTTTCGTTTCAATGTTTTTTTGCAGATTCTCTACGTAGACTCTTCATTCCGGATGTGCAAACCCCCAATACAAAACCCAAAATCGTTGGATGGACCAAGAAGTTGCTATCTGAGGCTATCAAGGCTGACATCAATCATGATGGGTCATTTGGCAAGCCCAAGAGGTATGCAAAAAAAGATATATGGAATCACGATCACTGTTCAGTTTTATTCAGCGTGTTTTTGTTACAGAAAATATGGAGCATGCTGCATTATCCTAGATTAAATTATGGCATGCTATCCCAGTTTTATTCCTGCCAAACGCAATTTTTATGTAATCAGAACGGGGGCAGGGCAAGTGTTGAGCAAGCATCATGATCTGTACTGAATAATTGCTCTAGCAAAACTAAACATGCCAGGGTCCAGGGGTGTAGTGATCTCGCAATATTTCTGCTGCCTTTACAATATCTTAACATGTTCTGTTCTTCGCGGGCTCATTGTGGCAATGCAAATTGAGTAGATTAAGAGAACTCAAGGTTATGGGGAAATCTGGGATTTTTCCGGACCAACTTTCTCCAACTTCCGGTGGCTAGTAGCCAGTAGGTTTATGTTATTTTCAGTTCCCTTTGTCAGATAATGAGCAGTACTACTGCAGTACTGCCTAATGTAGTAACGTTGGCATGTACTACCTATTAGCATATATTAGTTAACTAACTCTGAATTTGGTTAACTTGACATTGTGTAAAGTTCTCACAGCTACCTATTACCTACCTTACCAATCTGAGTGTCATAGCTTCTTTTATTTTATTGTCCCTATACCATGGGTTTTTTCCCCATTCATATATGTTGCTTCTGAAAACATGAATGATGAATTGCCTTTTAGCTTGTGTTCTGGCACCGATCATGGTACCACTACCAGGAAACTGAGTTGTTCAGTTAGGGGTGTAATAACCGTGACAGGGTAGCTTTTTAGTTTCCCTGGTCATTCCGCTATAAGTTGCTATGTCTAAATGCTGAAAATTATGGTTTAATCACTTGAAGCCTCCTTTCCCCAGCTGGCTGCCAATTTTCCTGGTCGGCGGACAGCTATAGCTTGGCAGCTGCCACGGCTGCCTCCCTGCGTCCTATCCTGGCTGGGTGGCTGGATAATTGCTCAGTTCAAACCAATAGATTAGCCCAATCAATATATTAGATATGCATAAAGTAAGTAATATATTTGTTATGTATCTGCAATTTGTTTTTTTATCTGCGCTGGTGACTAGCAGTGCCAAGTTCTTCAGTAGGGCTGCCTCTCAGTTTTTTCTTTTGTCCCCTTTTTTCCTGAGATGGATGCTTTTTCTTTTGTTAGATAGCAAGGTGCTCTATGGTCCTGCATCGATTTTTCATTCTCTGCTTGATCTGTGTTTTTGCCCACTACATAAACAGGTGTGATGCATAAAAAAATGAAAACAGAGCTCTGTATTTTTTTTGCAGATAAACCAGGGGGGGTTGCAGTGGGATGCAAATGAACACAGACACTATACTTGCTTTTTCAGAATACATAAATTGTTGACACAGATGTTTTGATTAGCACACCACAATTCATCTAGATTTCTTTTTTTTATTATGATTGGAAAATATGCATCTGTGCTTTTTAAAATGTTGTTCCATTTTTTGTGCTTTTATGCATAGGACTAGTTGAATCACAGGGGATAGTTGCCTAGAGCTAGTTGTTTCCTTCAATAATTATTGCACAAATATAATAACAACAACTCTTTTTTTGTGCATGCATTTATAGAGATAGTTCTTCATACAATGCCTAGAGGGCAGAGGTTTCAAGGAGTGTGTACGCCAGCGTCCAATTGCAGGAACAAGGTATGATCACACTCACGGAAAAGAAAAACACGACCATTTTCTTAGGCAATTTAAGTGTCATTTTTTAGGCAACAATGTGCTCCTAAATGGGCAATTTAGCCTTCTGTTGCAGTTTGGCAGGCATGCTGCATTTAGAACAGGTTCAACCTTAATGTTTTTAGTTTGTTAAATAATTATGAGTGAGTTTTGTAATGTTTTCTTGCAATTAATGATTATGCGTCAACATTCAAAAAAGCCTTATGTTGTATAGGTGCTGAAAATGCTCGTTGTGCTCTAGAATGTGTGTATGTACCATAGCAGCCCACTTTGAAACATTGCCTCTGTTTTTTGACATCATCACTTGCCTATGTTTGATTTTTTTTTTTTTTGCAAATAAACCGCGGGGTTGGGGGTTGGGCTGTGGGTTGCAAATAAACACAGACACTATACTTGCTTTTTCAGAATACAAAAATTGCCTAATTTGGAAGACATTGTTGCCTAATAAATGACACTTAAATTGCCTAAGAAAATGCCATCCACTGCAACATTACTAGCAACAACCTGCACATCACCAATAGAGGCTCCAGGAACATAAGCATCCTTTTCTATCTCCATCCAGCAACAAATTTATGACACATGTTATCTTTTTTTAACATGCAGGATGCAGGCCATGTACAGAGAAGCAAGATGCGGGCCAGTATAGAGAAGATGTGCAAATGTGTGGGACTAGATGTATAGTGTTGTGCTTTTTGAAAAACTTCAGATGCAAATGTATTTTTTTTCTGAGATGTGTTCTTTTTCTGAAAACATTGCATTTTTGTGAACGTATATATGTAGTACCTAAAAGCATGTCTGGGTCTTATTTGCCTTTTTTTTTTGAATGTATAGATGTGCAAATGTGTGGTCGGTATCTGGTCCTGGCCATATCCCACCAAAAAACAAACGTTAATTAGTATCCTTGCCGAAAAAGGAATAGAATAATTACACATTTACCAAAAAAGGAAAGGCCGTGTGATAAGCTTTATTACGGCCGGCCGTAATTTAGAGCTTGTGCGGCTGCCTGTTTTTTTGGCTGGCTGGATCTTTTTTTTTCTAGCCGGAGCAGTGTTTTTTTCTCGAAAAAAAAAACCAGTATGAACAGTGAAAACCATCGTGAACAGTGTCACCTTTAGTCCAGCCGAACAAGCTATTAGCTGCTTAGCTAATTTGTATTAGCGCTACCCTTTGCCTACAAAATTAGAGTTTGGTAAGGAAATCTCTTACTCCTGCCACTGAGCCCAGAAGACGTACGTCTAATGGAAACTTATTGTCTGTTTGGATCCTTAATTGTTCGCATTACATAGTTTAAGAAAGTCAGTTAAGAATTTTTTTTATTGGCTAGATTTATTTTGAGATATTAGTTAGACTATCAATTGGAGTATTTGGATCCAGTAGTGCTAGTTTTAGCTGTTGTAACAATCAGTAGGTGGGATCCGACCATCCCATTATCCTCAAAACTCAACTATTGACGTTTATAGCACCTCAAGATAGACTACTAGTCTCAACATTAATCAAAAGCATTTGACTTCTTATTAATGTACTGCGTGTGCTTTAACTGGGTTCTACAAAGACGAATACTGTGTCATATTATAATAACTGCCTGTAATAGTACATATAAGCACCAGTTACATATTTCCTGTGGCTTCAAAAATTCAAACTAGATGTTGCATTTGATGTCAGTGTACGCACTTGTTGAAGCAGGGTTATTGACATGCCTCACATGCGTGAGATCATAAAAACGAACTAATGTCGACATAGAACTGGCACCTACTCCAGCATTGGCACAGCAAAATAAATGTATTACGCACTAAACTAAGCCACAGAATATTGTTAGATACAGAGAGATGATTTGGTCAATGATCTTTGGCAAACGCCTCTTCCAATGTCATCAGCCAAGTCACGTACTGGCTGCGCTCCTTCTCAAGCAAGTGTTGGAGAATTGAGGTTGCCAGTTTGGAGTTGACGCCTCTTGCTACCAGACATTCTCGCAAAGCAGCCTGTAGCCGAGGATCCAAGTCTCTGTGCAAAGAAAGGCAAACACTGTCACTGAGTGCAAATGTGTGAGTTTTAAAAAAACAAACTTCCTAAGCTTGCCACTGATGTTAGTAGTGTTGATGTTCTGGAGAACTTGTATCATTTATGCCTCCTTATGTAGGACACTTTTCTTACAACCACCATGATCTGAAGAATTTTGACACGGTCAACTACTTTAGGAATGAATGGAACAAACAATAAGGGTGATGTTGTCCAAATTTAACTCTCAGTTCAGAGCAAACAAAATTATAGCTGCATTACACTAGATTGTTCTAAAGGATACAGCATTAATCCTTAATTGACAATGGCTACTTTTCTGTATGACAATTTTTTCATGAGTGCAGATTTGGTGCCCAGGGGGGCTTGGGGCTGGCGCCCTCGTTAGCTAAAATACCATGTTGCAATGTTTCAAAAATCATCACAAAATCATGTATGTAGTACACATAAAGTTAAGTATTGCTGCAACAATTCAGTTTGAAATTCATCCTAGACGCCAACAAACAAAATAGACAAGCAGTCAACCTGGCACTGTTCATCATGTGCTGACAGTGACACTTCTGTTTTTTTTTAATCTCAGCATCAAAGATGAATTTCTCAACTGAATTTTTGTGGCTACACTTAACTTTAGGTGTACTACATACATGATTTTTTGATGATTTTTGAAGCATTGCAACATGGTATTTTAGAACGAGGGCACCATATGATTTTCCTTTATTCATCAAGTGTTACTCTTTTATTTCCTCACTGGTTTACTATGTGTTCTTCTTCCCATTATGCTCTAGTCAACGAAGGGGTATAATATGGACCAAGTATCAAATTTTCATTGTCATACATCAAATTTGGTAGCAAATGACCATCTCGAGACCAGTTTTTTAGGTTAACTTTAAATGCTGTGAATTGTAGCCCAGCAAGGCAGAAACTACCCTTGTTTCGTGCTGGTTGGCTTCAAACAATTGAAAGAAATTTGGCCCAAATAATCCAAGATGAGATAAGGTATTCAAATGCATGGAACAAACAGGTCAATCAGATTCCTTACATCCACAATCACTTCCCCTAAGTTTATTACTTTATAAAATTACTTTATGTACTGAAAAAATATTTGATAAGCCCATTTAGATAATCTAGTTAAAGATAATGAACATCACAATGAATATCATGAGATTACAAATTAGAATAAAAATAGCATAGGAACCCAGGATAATTTCATGTGATTACTTTGATCCAGGATCAGGGCATGCTTATTTACATATCCAGGTTTTCCAATCTTTGAGTTGATTATTAATTCTGTACTTCTGAAGAGACTAGCATCACCCTTAACCTAAAGTTTCAACTAGCATGATTGTCAATCAAAAAACGTCTCTCACAACATGAACTTCAAACAATAGAGGTGCATATGGTTCTGCTAAACCATGTGCAGTACTGATAGACAAACAGCATTGGAAGCTTACTCCCCAGAACTCACAGAGGCAACAGCAGAATTTAATTGGAAATTTTAAAGGCAAACGGAACTTTGAGGAGTAAACAAGTTCGGTGATTACCCTCATGGTACAATGGTCCTTGCCTACTTAGCCATATTTTGTGGACCATCCTTAGCTTACTCGAGAATTTTTCTAGGCAGTAGGCACAAAACCCTTTATCAAGAAAGAATGGTAATTGAATAAAAAATAAATTTCAGACTAGCTGTACACATGGCATTGAATATTTTCGAAAATAACCACATCAATATCTAATTACCAAGAACAAATACTTGGATCGTTACCAATATTAAAAAAAAGGGCGTACCCAGTGCAGAGAGCTCCCGCTCTGTGCGGGGTCTGGGGAAGGGTGTTAGTGGCAAGCCTTACCCTCGCCTGTGCAATGCGAGGAGACCGCGACTCGAACCCGGGACCTTCCGGTCACAGGCGGTAAGACTCTACCGCTTGCACCAAGCCCGCCCTTCGATCGTTACCAATATTACAGAGGTTAATAACTATTCATCTCATACTAGTGATGCAATCCTGGATATAATATAATGGAACCTACACTGAACAAGTCTCCTTAGGCCCTGTTTGGCATGGCTCCAACTCTGGGTGGAGCTGCTCTACTCCAGAACTCCAGGTGGAGCCAGCTCTGGATGGAGTTGGAGCTGTCTAATGGAGGTGTTTGGCTAGGAGGGTGTCCCCAGCTCCAGAAAAGCGGAGTTTGAAGGTGAATTATCATTATTGCCCCCAACTTATGGTCCCACCTGTCATCCTCATATTCCCCTTTTCTTCTTCCTTAGGTAGCCAAGCAGCTAAAACTTTTTCATATTTATTAAAAATTGTTTACTGACTTCAACAAATTACTCTAAACTAGATCAGTCCAGATTGAAAAGGGCCGGAAGAAGCATTATCATTATTTGTCATCTAAAACGGAAGAAACAGAGTTGCCTGCTGCCATTGACCGTTGACCGGTGCTCATGCCAACTTCTTGTGCCTGCGTCGTCTCATCATCCCTGTCAAGCCTCTTCTTCCGCCTGCATCTGGGCCGGACCGTTGAGCGGATAAGAGCTCGATCCGGTGGGGAAGCCAGGCTGCGATTGAAGAGGTTACGACTTCGATTCGCGAGCTGCTCTTCATCCCTGTCTTCTTCTCCCTCCATGGCGGACCTGTTCTTCGACTGGTACGCGGACCTGCTCCGCGCGGCACCCTCGGGCGCCATCCGGGCGTGGGGCCCCTTCGGTGCGGGCCACGTCGTGACCACCGGGAGCCCCGCCGACGTCAACCACCTCCTGCGTGCCGGAGGAACGGCCTCGACGACGACGGGGATGCCGCCGACCTGCTGTCACGGTTCATGACAGCCATGGACGAGGAGGACGGCAGCGAGCTCGGCGCCATGTTCCCCACTCCGAAAGCCAAGCGCCGGTTCCTGCGGGGAAAGGCGGCCGGCCGGCGGGGCTCGGGCCGCCGGCGGCAGGGGTAGAGCGGCGGTGGGCGTTGGCCGGCCGAAACGCTAGTGGCGGCAGCGGGAGAACGGCGCGGGCGTCGTCAGAAAAAACATTGGCGCGGGGGCTATCTGAGGAAAAATAAAAAAGGAACGAAACATTATTTTTGTGTAACGAGTGGCATTGGTGGGTAATTACCCACCAACTCCACGAGGAGGTTCAAAAGAGGGGGTTTTGGAGCAGCAAAAGAGGTGCTCCAAGACTCCATCCCCATTTGCACTACAGCTCCATGGAGTTTTGGAGTTGGGGTGTTTGGCTGTATTTTTTGTTGGAGTTGCTGGAGTTGTGGAGTGGAGCCATCCCAAACAGGCCCTTAGGTTTCATATGTTGATGACAACTAAGAGCTAACAAAATGCTAGGCAATAACAACAGTTCGACGAAATGTCTTCAGAGTACAGCAGATATTTGTGATTCATGCCTAAGATACTAGCACAAGTCTTGACATTCGATGCAATACAATTTACAATTTTAATCCTGCAATGATTAACCATCTATAAATTCCAGGAATGTCTACACTATCTTCAAATATGCAGTGACAAATTTTAACATGAAAATGCCAGTCATCTTTCCAAAAGAGATTGTCCCAAAAAACAAAAACTTTGCAAAAGAGATAGGCAATGCTGATCAAAATCATACAGCACACATGTGGGGAAAAAATGCTCATTTTACAGATTTTTCTTGCAGGGAAGCCAGCTTTATTAGTCAATTTTATGTGCTTTACATGTGCAGTAAAGCCATCTTTAATATCTGTGGATGCATTGTGCACATAAAACAACAACAGCATCCACAGGGGTATTTTTTTACATAAAAGACCAAATAAAAAAAAGCAGAGCATAAGAGCACCACCTGAACACCGGGCCTTCATACTCGTCTTCTCCAGCGGCGCCAGGAGAGGAGTGGTACCGGACAGCGTTAATAGCATAGTCAGCAGCGCCGCGCTCCTCCTCCCCAACCCAAGACGCACGACAGTCGAAGTGCAGGACGGGCGTCGCGCCAGGCTTACTGACGAAGACCTTCATGAGCGCGGCCCTGGGCAGCGGGTCCTGCTCTACGAACCGCAGCGGGGCGAGCAGCGCCGACACGAGGACCTCCTCGGAACCGACCCGGCGGCGCAGGAGCACGTCCTGCGCGCGCGGGGAGTCCGACACGGCGTCGAAGCTGGACGCGTCCTGCGAATGGGGGGGTGGTGGGGGGATGAGCAAAGGTGTGAGCTTTACGCTGGATCGGGGGGTTGGGGTTGAGAGAGGATGAGGATGCGCGTTACCTCGAAACGGAAACGAAGGGGAGTGGAGGGGGAGGAGAAGGTGAGCTCGTGGGCGAGCTCGGCGCGGAGGGCGGCGGCCAGGACACCGCCGTCGGTCGAGCCGCGGCGGAGGGCGGCGGCGGAGGCTCTTAGCCGCCGCAGGAACATGGCGCACGGCGGGACGGGATGCAGAATTGCAGATCGATTCGGTCGCGGCTCGCAGTTCGCAGGCACAGCCCGGTCCATTTGCAAAGGAGCCCCAACAAACAAAGCAAATTCTTTTTTTTTTTCGACATGCAGATGCACGCTCTAACTCGCGTACATACACAGAGAAATATACAGTAAATTGTGAGAGAATTTTGGCTGCAGCTGCAGTTGCTTAAGAGCAGCCGATGATGGTAAGAACTACATGAACATTCATACTTTGATATTATTATTGTATAGGTAGATATGTAGAAACTAAGAACTGAAGTATACAGTAGATATAAAGATTATTGATATGAACTCCCACCATTTCAAATTATAAGACACTTTGTATTTTCTACGTACATAACTTTTATTATGCACTTAGATATATACTATGTCTATATATATTATTAATTAAAGCAATGTATTAAATTATAAAAGTTTAAATATTTTATAATTCGGAACGGAGGAGTAGGCAGGAATGAAGAGGAGGAGAGAACCGGATGCGTCCAGGGGTTGGATCGGAGGGGCGGCGGTGATCTTCGGACGCCGATGTAATTGAGAGAGATAGACGAGCCAACTCTTGCAATGGATTTACGTGAGTTCGTGACACGTACGTGTCCCCTGTCCATCTGCTCTTCCAATACACGTGGATACAGGTACAGCATCAAGGTACTTTACACTAATCCATATATCATCAGGCCTGACCAAGACCAACCACTACCACACTCGATGACCAAGGGTGTGGGTGTGGTTTCCGAGCACCCACTCCCTCTTCTTGTTCCTCGTCTCCAGCGGTATGAGGTGGCCGGCGGGCCTGACGGGTCCTCAGCGCGGCGTCCTGCGGGCCAACGCGAACGCGTGCTCGTTCCGCCTCCACTGCCGCAGGGCTGCCGGCCGCGCGCCCGGCGTCTAGCACGGTGACCACCTGGCTGCTCCCCCTCCTCCCCAGTTCGCCTGCACGCTGCGACTTAGTCGTGGGCTCCTTGGGCGGGGCCTGGACCCGTCGTCGTTGGCTCTAGGCACGGTCACCTGCCGGTGCGCGCCTCCCACTGTCGCGGGTGAGTCCGACAATGGCTCCGCGCGGTGTAGCGACGACCGGCAACCCTTCTCCGTCTAGGCGCGGACGCTTGCCAGTGTGCGCCTCCTACCGTCGCGGGCGAGTCCGGGAACGGCTCCGCGAGGGGTGGCGGCGGCCGGCACCCACCCCTACGCACCTCCCACCGTCGTGGGCGAGTCCGCGGACGGCTTCGTGAGGTGTGGCGGCGGCCGGCACCACCCCCATCCAGGTGCGAACGACTGCCGGTGCGCGCCTCCAACCGTCGTGGGCGAGTCCAGGAACGGCTCCGCGAGGTGTGGCGGCGGCCGGCACCACCCCCGTCTAGGAGCGAATGACTGCCGGTGCGCGCCTCCCACCGTCGCGGGCGAGTCCGAGTACGGCTCCTTGCATTGCGCGAGGTGTGGTGGCGATTGGCCCCCCTCCATCCAAGCGCGGACGCTTACCGGTGCACGCCTCCCACTGTCGCGGGTGAGTCCGACAACGGCTCCGTGTGGTGTGGCGGCGACCGGCACTCCCCCTTCGTCCTGACGCGATCGTTCGTCGATACATGCACCTTCCTCTGTCGCTGGTGGGTCAACAAGAGTTCCAGCAAAGGTTCTGGGTGAAAAGCTCTGCTCAGATCAAACTGAGCCAGCAACGATGATCTCCTTCTTCAAGGCGTCACTGCAGAACCTCTTGTTGCCGCTTCTCCGTGATCGGCCCGTTTCAACCCCTCGGCATAAGGCTCGGGCGAAAACCTTGCCAGGCTCCTGAGGTGTCGCCTTTTGTTGCTTGGCTGACGATGATTACGCCGCGGCGTCATCCACCTCGCTGGAGGCATCATCAAATGAGCTCCTATGTCTCGGTGTTGTAGTTTTTCTTTTCTCTTTTAATTGTATCTGTGGATCTGCCACAATCTAGCCTGTATACTATGGTCGTTGTTCTGGTTTTACATTTTTGTACCTCTATAATCAGGGCTCGGATTAGCTCCTGATTTATGCTTTGTATCCTGAACTTTTGTTCTGATCTTAGGGGGGGTTACAAGTATTAAAACTGATAGTAGCTTAGGATCGTGACGCAAACATTGCATATTTCCTGTCCGTCCATCAGCGTCGTATTTAATTTGCCTGAATGCGTAACTAGTGACGCTCACGCGTTGACGTGCTCCAAATGAAATCCACTTCTGTCTGTCCTGTTCGGTCAGTATTAAAGCTGACTGATAAACCGGTCTTGACTGACTTATTGTGAGAAAAAAATACTGAAGATTTTATCTGATAAATCAGTTGATAAGTTCAAACGAACAGACCCAATTAAATAGACCATATACACTTTCAGCGCTTACCATTTAAAGATATTATATTATATATACACCAGCCGGGCACCGCTGAGTCGTCGCTGTCTGTCCATCAGCGTCGGATTTTAACTAATCCGTACACTTTGAGCACCTGACCAACGCAAGATAGTACTAAATAAGTCGTTACACATATTGATCAAATACAGCATTGAGACCAAGATAGTACTTAATATTGTATGTAGATGCAATGATGTATATTGATCAAATACAGCATTGAGACGAAGTATCAAATTAATATGGATGTAAATTAATATGATGCTCAAATTAAGCCGTACTTTTTCAGCTAACGAACAATATTTTTCTCTCACAACAAATCAGCCAATAGTGCTTTTAGTCATGACTTATCAGCCAAGCCAGTAAAGCATACATGCGTATCAATCAAGAAACATTCTGTTCATTTGGCTGTGGCTTGTCGTAAACGATCCTAAATTTCCAGTAGGAATAGCATTTTTCTCTCACATAAACCAAATTAACAAAGATCTTCTTTACTGAGAAGTAAAAGCGAAGCGAATGGCTAAAAATAGATACGTGTGTATATATATATATATATATATATATATATATATATATATATATATATATATATATATATATATATATATATATATATATATATATATATATATATATATATATATATATATATATATATATATAGCAGTCTTTGCTTTGACATCGATCGGCTGCTGCGACGTCATCTCCGTAACCGTAAACGTGCGATCCGTCATCCGTCCTGCATGTTTCCTCGCTGGCTGTTGCGTGCGCGGCCAGGGCCGCGTCTTATATATAGCGCGTGTTTATTTGGGTGAAGTTTGGAAATTTGGTTGTAGCACTTTTGTTTTTTATTTGATAATTAGTGTTTAATCATGGACTAATTAGGTTCAAAACGTTCATCTCGCGATTTCCAATTAAACTGTGTAATTAGTTTTTTTCGTCTACATTTAATGCTCTATGCACGTATCGCAAGATTCGACGTGATAGATACTGTAGCACTTTTTTGGAATTTGGTTCGCAACTAAACACCGGCATAATTCAAATCCTGGGAATGTGTGCTCTTGAAACTGGGGGTTCTGGTTTTGTCGTTCGGTCTGTTCGCTAGTTAGTTTTTGGGCTGATAAGTTTAGCTGATGCTGGTTTATTATGAGAGAAAAACACGGTCGGCAACAAACGAACAGGCTGGGTGACTCCTTGGGGTTCTGCTTCCTTTGGTGGACGGATGGATGCATGCATGCCGCTCGTTTCTAACCGCCCGATTAGGCGGGCGGGCCGTTTTTTTATTCATTTATTTTTTGCAACTGATGAAATCGGGATTTAGGATTACGCCGCTCATCGATTTTGGCCACTGCTTTTGTTGATCCAACAACTCGGATCTGTCAATTTGTTCTGTAATTGAAATCTGTCACCTGATGTTGCAGCCCATTTTTAGCCCGTTTGCTAGCTGCTACTCTGATGTTGCAGCCCAGCATATCGGGGCTCCCTTCTCTTGGGCCTTTTTTTTTTGTGACTTTGCGTCTTGTCAGTCTATCTGATCCGATTATAGCCAAACTCGGGGATGCGAGATTACTTGTCGTACCTTTGTCCTTCTCATAAAAAAACTGTCTACTGCACAACTATATATTTTATATAATTTCAACACATGAATTTTTTTTCACCCTAAGATTAAGATTCAACAGCTTCCATCCTTCTTCTACCTCTAGCCTTTTTCTACCTTAAGACAATAACAAGATCACAGATCCACATATCACAAATCACATATCACATAAAACAATTTTTTTTTCTATGGAAGAACAAAATACAGAGGGATTGGTTCCATTGCCTGCCCGTTCGTGAATAAGAAATATCGTGTCTTTGGTGCCTTCTTTGCGTCGCAAATACACGTGTCTTTGCCCGTTCGCAGATCGCGTCATGGGTCCCCGGCGGTGTTGGTGCCTCTGCTAGCGATAAGAAAGCGCACTTGATCGACGTGACGGATTGAGATCGACAGACGCAGACAAACCGAGGCAACAATCCGGTGGACTAAAATCCATGTGTTTTTTGTTGATAAAACACACGCGTGTTGTATAGCATTTCTGTAAAAAAAACTTTTCGTAACTTTGTGTTGTGATTTTTTTTAAAAAAAATCATGGATGTTGAATTAGATGGATGAATCTAATACACAAACAAATAAGAATCAAGTAAAGAGAATATTACCATGTTCCGTCCTAAATTATTAGACATTTTGGCTTTTCTCGATACATACTAAAAGCAATGTATCTACAAAAGCCAAAACGTCTAAATATATATAGATATGCACATAATATAGATATATACTATGTCTAGATACATACTAAATCCATCCCAAATTATAAGATGGATTAAATAAGTTTTCGCTATGCACATATATATACACTATGTCTAGATACATACTAAAAGTAATGTATCTAAAAAAACAAAACGTCTTATAATTTGAAACGGAGAGAGCATTTTTCTAATGCATATTTGATCAAAGTCAAAGCAAAGTTTGACTTCAAGAGAAGTCGTAACATGTCTTAAGAGAGGGGAATGATAGGAGTAGTGTGTACTTGTCTTGTATCGTAGCCTCATAGATAA